ACCGACATTCCGTAAGCTAGCTGGATAGCTCCCTCACATGGGAGAATCCTCACGTAGTGAGGTGCAAGTGGTTTGAAGTAAGCGACCTACATTGTATACCACAGCGATTATATAGGGATTAGTTATAACTAATACTGTAGAGGTATAATGAGAATTGTGCAATATCGCATATTATTGTTGTTATGAATACTAAATGTGAAAATTGACTAAAAAATTTTTTTGGGGTTGTAATCAAAGGGAACCGGCACAGTGTTGGGATAGCGTAAAAAAGTAATTCTATAAAAAAATAGTTTATATATAATAAATATTACATATAAATTATTTTTTTTTCTAGAAATATTTTCGTACACTATCCCAACACTGTGCCGGGTCCCTATGGTTGTAATTGGGACTAGAGGTAGGGGTGGGGGCAGAGCCAAAGTGAAGCTACGGTTCATGCCGGTGCTTCCTTGGTCGCTTCCGAATGATGCCGGTAGAGCTCTGGTTGACCACAGCACGATTCTGGCAGTTCCCCGGTGGATTGAAAACGAGCGAAAATGATGACATTGCATAGGCTCTACCAGAATCAACCGTAGCTCCATCGTCATCCTCCGGGGCTCTACCAGCATCTGCCTATGCTCACCAGGGTTAACCAAAGCTTTCCGGCTATATCATACCCTGGATCATCCCCATTATGTGCTGCCAGAGATACAGTGCTTCCCCCTGTGTAACCCCAGACATTCCCAGCAGAGCTAAGGTTGAAGCTATACCTCACCGAATCACCCCGGTGATATTAAATATTTTATTCCATCCGGGGTCGAATGCCAGATGTTACCGGATCATCCTAGAATTAACGCATGTACCCCAGTTGTTCTCGGACGTCTACAGGGAACACTCTAGTCGCCAAATATCCTGGAAATTGGTCAAAAAGTTTGTTTTGATGATTTCTACGTCAAGTACGAATAAGGGTCACCTGGAGTAAAAAAACGCCAAAATATGGAAAAACCTTGTGAACACTCTGGTGGTCACATGTTTGACACACCTGTCATGAAACTTGGGTTCGATGGGTCAGGTGAGCGATCTAGGGCCATCTTGGCCCCCTTGTTTTGTTTTGTCAGAGTTATTGCCCTTGACTTAGTAAAATTTGCAATTTTCAACTTGTGTCACATGTAGCTAAAAAAGTATTTGACATAGGGTCATGATATTTTACAGGAATGTTGACCAGCTTGTGAAGTTGTGCACCTGTGTATTTTACAGGAACTAAATGATTCAACAGCTATAAAAAGCCAATAATGCAAAGTTCAAAATGGTGACGTACAGTAAATTTATAACACATGAAAATTACATTTCGAGGAAAATACAGTGAAATAGGTGGATTTTAACAAAGTTACTTGGCAATTTGTTAGAGAATTACATTCTTCATCTGAGGAAATCAGACTTTACATAAAATACAAACAATTAAGGAATTATGACAGCTTAAAGTCAAGGTTAAAAGGATTGTTTACAAACAATTACAGCTAAAGTGTCACGGATAAGGATTTCTTTCACATAAAGTACCAGCAGCTAATACCATTGGTATAACCTGTTTAAATGAGCTAAAGTGTGTTATTTAAAAGTCAATGCACAGTTCATTTTTCATTTTTATGCCTTGTTAAAGTCAACAACTGGTACTGGATTTCACAACCCACTGATAAAGTTAAGTTCATGTAGGTAAATTTCCTTAATAAATAATTGTTACACAGTTCACAGTTAATTTAATGATTAATGTCTGATACCTGGGACACATCATTATTATTGAGTAATTTCAATTTCAGCGTTATTATAAGGTCATTTTAATTTCAGCGTTATTATTGAGAAATTGCAATTTCAGCCTTATTAAAGAATAATTTCAATTTCAGCGTTATTATCGAGTAATTGCAATTTCAGTGTTATTATAAGGTAATTTCAATTTCAGTGTTATTATAGAGTGATCTGATTGGAAACTTTCCTCAATACTGTTCTCATTCATATACATGTACTTAATCATTGTATTCCTTGCATTTTTATTATTTACCGTTTTATAATTACAATACTTAGTAGTCAAGTTGGATCAATCATTATGACTAAGTAATAATCCCCACATATTATATAATATTCATTACTAATGTTTTTATATTATCAAAATTGTCTTCATAAAATTGAGGTTGATCAGTTTTAGGACCACAAAGGCTTAAAAGTGTGAGGTTTTTTTATAATTAATAATCAAATCTAAAATAATGTAAAATCCATTCTTATCAATAATTATGTTCTTAATTTTAGACTCAATATTACTTCCAAATAAAATAGCGACGCCTCTGGAATTGGATGTTCCATAGCTTAAGGAACAGCGTATAAAGATTTTTGCATGTCCATTGTAAGTGAGTGTCTTGCAAACAGTAAATATCAGATTTATTTTGTTTTAAAAACGAAACTCTTCTTTCCGCTTTTTCACACCATTTAAACCTCTACAGTTCAGGGTTAAGACCTCCCATAAAATCACATTAAAAAGGCATCGTAGTAATTTTCTATTATCTCAACAAAACATTGGTAAACTATAATAATACGTCATGTAATATACCTATTTGTTATAATTTCCCTGGTCAGGCAAGTACAAAAAACAGACAACACAAAAATGTTCAAAATGTATTTAAAAACAAATATTCCATCTTTCCTGGAATTCAAAAATAGGAACCTGGAATTAAAATTAAAGGAACTACATAAGAAGATATTAAATGCAATACAATTTTTTTTCATCATAATTGTTTCATCATAATGAGACAATATTTATTTCTGTTCACGAATGTTTGCATATCTTTAAAATGAAGGAGATCTTAAATTGTTGTATTGCTATGTATACGTCATAACTTCCTGTAAGAGTGATGCCAACTCAGGTTTATAATGTAGAATTTACAGGTATCAATTAATGACTTTGATAAAAAAAACTAATGATTGTTAATTGTATTGTTTTACATTTGACCACTATAAATATGCAACTATTTCTTATTCCGAAAGTCAAAAAATCGGAGACGAAAAAGTTAGGGAAGACTATATAAAGCAATTATTTTACCAGTAATAAACTTTGCAATACGGACCAAAACGTTAATGACAGCTATCAATATAAACACAAAATATCACCTCAGAAACGAAAAAGGTGATTTTCGATGCAGTAAATCAAATTTATACAATAATCAGTAAAATTTATAAGCTTGAAATGTCTACTTAATATATCTATAAAACAATCACTATTTTCATGTCAAGTCCTGACATATTAGCTCAGAATCATTTAAAGATCTTGTATGTTTTGTGACTGATATTGTGACTAAGTGTGTATTTTTTTTTAATGCGTTTATTTAAAGTCGCCGCCGGAAAGCCCATATGGGCGACCGTACGCTCAAGTCGGGCCATCCTAGAGCGTCCAGCCGAGATTTTTTCGTCGATTTTTTTTCCAGCTTTAATTGGTGGAGGAAGACCCCAGGTGCCCCTCCGGGCATTATTGCAGGCACGAGCGGTCACCCAGGTAGAACCATCGACCATCCGTAAGCCAGCTAAATGGCTTCCTCACATGAAAGATTTCGACCCGAGTGAGGATCGAACAATATGTAAAATAAGTACTGCAAATATTTGTGCACATTATATTTAATTGATAAATTATATGCATTCATTTCTTATTGGAAAATTTGACTTTGAATTAATAGTAAATAAATTTCTAATTACCTCCCTTTATTTACATGAAATGTTAAATTGGGTAATATCTTTATAAACAATGCTTATTGGAACTTACAATATTGACAAATTTTAATTTGCGCATCATATTTATGAAATAAAACCATGAAAAAGTTGTGTTACAGGATCTTTAACAAATGACAAAAAGACACAAAAACGAAAATTTTATAAAGGAAAAACAACAACAACAAACAAACAAAAAGATTCAAAGTTCTTGCGAGACTTCCATGTTATTAATTATACGACTGGATAACCTGAATTTTATTTCTGCAATTTGAAATTCTGTGTTATTTTTACTGTTTTATTATTTTAGTAACAGCATGTATCAAACAATTTATATCAGTCAAGGGGAAGTAACTACCCCCAGAACGTATCCATGTTTTCTAAGGCCCATTATGCCCCATAAATGTTTTTAATTTATTCCTCTAATGACTTTTTTCTGAGGCATAACGTGCCTTTCAGTAAATAATCTGGAATCATTATCAACACATACTTTAAACATAATAGATATTAAATTATAACTAATGCACTGATGACTTTTTATGCATATGAGGAATCTAATGATGTTATTAAACATACAACTTATCGTGTTAAAATTTGGACATAGCAAACGTCATAAAATTCTGCCTTTGCTGCATTCAGCCAGAGAAAAAAGCAATTTTACTCCTACCATAAACTTCAATCTAGATCTATGCAGAGTATAATTCTAAACGAAAGAAAATGATTTATTGTAATTCTTACAAAAAACAAGAGCTGTCGGTAGTACAGCAACGTTCGACTATTCTAAGTGCTTGCTAGTTAAAGAGCCTTGATAATGTAAAATTTTCTGAGTTAATAACAAAAGGACAACATTTTTCTTTAAATTCATGTTACAGTTATAGGCCTTGGAGAGAGTCCAATTATGCTCTCAAAGAAGAGTATAAAATTTCAACTTGTTTCAATAGAATATAAAAATATCTGAGGTGGTATGCAAACCTAAATGTAAATTCTAAGTTGAAAAAAGGCATAATTCTGTCAAAATGCTTGATACAGTTACCTCCTCCTGTCAACAGGTTGGGGTTATAATGCTGGACAAGTGTGCAAAGTTTCAAAGCCATATGTCAATGGACTTTTAAAATTATTTGAGGTATTACAAAAACTTTCGTGGCCGAGTGGTTAAGGTTGTTGACTTCAAACGACTTGTCCCTCACCGCTATGGGTTCGAATCCCGACAGGGACTTTGGATTCTTTCATGTGAGGAAGCTATCTAGCTAGCTTACGGAACGTCGGTGGTTCTACTCAGGTGCCCGTTCGTGCCTGAAATAATGACCGGAAGTGCACCTGAGGTCTTCCTTCACAAGTAAAGCTGGAACGTCGCCAAATGACCTATACTGTGTCGGTGTGACGTAAAACCAAAAACAAACAAACACACAAAACATTTAACGTAAATTAAAGTCGAAAAAGGGGCATAATTCTGTCAAAAATGCTTGACACAGTTGCCTCCTCCTGTCTACAGGTTTGGGTTATGATAGCTCGGGTGACTACAATAGCTCTACTTATTCTTATCGAATAGTCGAGCTAAAAAGCATTTTGAACTTCAATGTATAAACATGAACGGAGCTCCTTAAACTCATAACATCATGATATTTATGTAAAGAATTTTAACATTAAAAAATAATAAAATTAATGTATACTATCCCTTAATTTCCTGACAAAAGCAGTCGTCTACATAAAAATTGTGGTCTGCTTCATATTTATGTTATATCGTTTTATACAAAAATAAAGAAATATTTTTTGAACATATATATTCATAAGTTTATATAAGTCTCATCCAATACATGTACATATAATACAAATATACATTCAATAAAACTTAAAATACATGTAAATGGTTATTCTTATAAAGAATTATAAGAGACTCTATGTATGTTGTTACACACATGCTACAAGTATCATAATATACAATCCACATTTAAAAGGTTAGATCGATTAAACCTAGCACAGAAAGGTATTTTACATAGTCATATATGAGCAGTCCAGCAAAATCAAATAAAATACACACCTGAGTAGATAGATAATATCACTTAACCATTGCATAAGAACTTTAATTTGTTACAATGCATGTACTTTAAAACAGCTTAGATGTTTAATTTTTTACACTTTGATATATTTTAAAAAATAGCTAAGATCTTAATTTTTTTTAAAACTGATATCACTAAAAGGCCTTTTTTAGAAACAATTTTTATTGATTAAAAAGTGTTAAATCCATATAAACTATATATATAAAGACCTAATTATAATACAAGCATGAAATGGCATACCACCTATTGCCTTGAATTTTGTAATAAATATTCCTAAAGCCCTTCCTGCAGCTTGTGACACAAACTTAGCAGTCACTTAATTATCTAAAAATTCATTTAACGTCAGACCAAGATAGGTATACTTTTGACTGTATTGAAGTACCTCATCATTGCATTTACATACAAACTGAGATTTCTGCATAGACATTGTCCTAAAGTATACAACAATACTTTTGGTCATATTGATCAACATGTGATTATTTTGACACCATTCACATAGGCAATCTAACATCAATTGTAAATTATATTCATTCTTTGCAAGTATAACTATATCATCTGCATTTAACAATATTGATAGACATATTTAACAGTTTAAGATATTGCATATATCCTGGTTCAACTTACAAATGTCATTATAATGTCGCAAAGCATGGTAAGGGTTCAACCATGTTAGGTCATATTAAAGTCAGTCAATGAGTTCAATATTATTATGATTTATTGCAAGAGTTTTTATTTATATGAGTTTTTATTATTCTCATTAAACATATTTTGATATAGTACACGTGTACCCATGAATTTTAAAATACGCGAGATCTTTACTACACAGTCTTCATGTTATAATATCTTACTCATTTATCTCATGACTTTAAAAGTTATCTTTAACATATTAAAAAAAAACAACAACAAAAGGTCAACAATAGCAAATTATAACATAAACAATTTTCATCCTTTAAAGATTTCGATAGTCATTTACAGCTGAAATTCATTACCTTACATCATACATTTATTACAGAATACAAGCCTAATCATACTGAAACAGAACATGTTGGTACATGAACGACATAATATACACAATCCTAGTACCAACACTTGTCAGATATTTTCACACTGTCTAGCATTTAATTAAGTAAACAATTTGTGTGACTACCACATAAAAACTGCTGATTTGCCCATCATTAAACCTTGTATTGCTAAGTTTTAACGACACACGTCGACCACGTGTTGAAATTTGCAACGAAAAGACGCTTGCTTTCCTTCCCGTAATACATACGATCCGGGCCACCATACGGTCCGTTTAAACTACATACATATGTACCGTCGGTATGATTAAGAATATTTATTCTTTTTTCATTAACGATAAGCATTTGGTCGTTGAATATACATGTTCTCATGGACCGTGCGAGAATTTTTTTTAGGATTACTCCATTCAGATTAAATATTATAATTCTATCTAACGAGCTAACAAAGAATTCGTTTAACCCTACTGTTAGGTCAGTAATATTTTTTTTCCTGCTACTAGAAGAGGTACTATTGTAATGATTATCATAAAAAAGTGGCTTTCCTTCGAACATGTCAATTGTACACACTTTTGTCCAATTCAAACGAGAAATTCTAATATGTGTTTCATCACAGGTAATATAACGGTCACTGTGGACTATTTTGGCTACTTTTTTAACTGAACCACTATAAAGAGAAGTTTTGTCAATTTCCACAAGCTTTATGCTAGAATTGTCAACAGCTGCAGACTGTAGTTTCATGTGTAATTCCATTCTGTCTATAAAAATAATCTCATTAGTACCTTGAACTGAAGACAAGCAATGAGGTTCAAATGCAAGTTCCTTGGATTCCACTGTATTCAAAGTTTCAAGAGAAAATATTGCAAGGAACCACTTGCTTTTAACTGTATCAGTTTCCATTTCTTCATAAGTTTGGTAAGTACAAACAGTTGTACCATCGGATACCTCACAGAACTCTTTAATAAACTTATTGTCATTTACTATCTCAACAAAAGGACCACATTCTGGTTTTACTGCCTCATTGGTACTGAAAAGAGATACCAATAAAAACATGAACAGTTTTAGTATGTAGCACCATGAGATTAAACAATAACTCGGTGACTGTTTAGCATCGTAAAAATATATTTGCATATTTATAGAGTATGAATTTACGTAAAAAAACAATTGAAAAATAATACAAAGGAACAATATTGTGTAATGTTTTAGAAAGCATACAATATGTAGGAAGACTTTACACAGGTGTCATAAGGAGTGTATGAGCGTAATATTGAACCAATCACAATAAATAAAAGCATATAACATGGTAAAAGTACCAGTCCGTCAATTATAATGTATAAAATATATATGTAGGACAATTAACAACAGGAGTCAACGCCTACTTTTCCTTATTCCTTATTTCTAATGTCAAAGTCATCGTTGGAATAATATTGTAATAGAAAAAATAATTTCCCTGTACAAAATAAAATCTAAATATTATATTTAACACTGACAGTCAAGGTAATTTACAAATCAAGGTCATGCTTAAATTATGATAAAATTAAATATCAATACGTCGGCGTTGACATAAATGTTGAAATGTACCCATATGAATCAAACCTGTCAATTATAATAAATGATAATCAGAAAAAAAATCATGAAAATTCAGCCAAATTTTAAAATATGACCATCATGGCAAGGTTATTTAAAGGTCGCGGTCTCATTTATATTAATCATCAAAGCCGATATAAAGTTATAAATTCAAAAATTCACATTGACGGTTAAGATCTTTTAATTGAGAGGAACATTTGTGATGCTTCACACAAAATACCTGATCTCTTGGCATTGTACTTTCATAGAAGATGTTTATCTGTAATTTAAGTCTATACAAACTAAGTGACCACAATAAAAGGCAGGGCCAATTTTGACCCAAAGGACATGAGTTATGTAACATTTTAGATGTTCACTAGTTAATACAGGTGAAATATTCGTACTCTTGACATTGCGGTTTCACAAAAGAAGCCATACATTGTTTTCCTATTCAAGTCTATATAAGCTAAGTAACTCCTTGGGCTATAACAAATTTGATCCAATGGTCATAATAAATATTACTTTTGTGGAGGACCATATGATAATGCTAAACAATAGAGAAAAACTGATCGCTAAAAAACGTCCAAAACGACAACATTGTAAATGTTGCATGCTCGGTTTGGTTTAGCCTGTACATGGACGGTACTGGGATGTGCAAGTTACTTTTCTGTGCGTCTTTTCACAAAAGTAGATTTTAAAGACATTTTTATTGTACAAGTCTATGTTAACTAAACCCCCAGGGCGGGACCAATTTTGACCCAATTGGCGTAATATATATAAGGTTAGTCGAGGTGTACTTGGCTATGCTACACGTCAAATATGTAAGCTATTAGAAATGCAGTTTCATTACAGAAGACTCAAATTTATTTTCCAATATAAACCTATATTAATTAAGTGACCCCTATGCGGGGCAAATGTTTGACCAAAGGGGTATGATTATACAACTTGTTTAGCTCTTGTAACCTCTTTTGCATCAGACTAAAAGTTATTTAACTTTTGTAGAGGATAACCTCATTCTTATTCCTGTGCAGGTTGATAAAATCAATCGAGTGGTTTAGTAAGATATACTATTTAAAATGTTTTAAACAAAGACGGACGACGGATACACTGCCAGCCCAGGTGAGCTTATACTTGACAATGTTAAAGTTTCTAGACGGGAAAGGGACCGGACGAAGATTTTAGCAATAGCTCGATTTGATGTCCCGTAAAAATCGAGCTAAAATACACCAGAGAACCACTCCTGCAAGCCAGTTCTGAATAGAAGGTTATGGATGAACTCGACCATTCAAGTTGTATGTACTTCAGACTAACTGTGTGAGACGTTTTTAACAAAATGTTGTATTCATGCCAGTCATGGAAAATACTTTTGATACATATATGCTTTCATTTTCCTTATTTTCTTACATACAGTTTAACATTATTTTTACTGGGTCAATATCGATCTAACTTCCCAGGAATTGTCTTTCAATGAAGCCTTGTCACATTCATTAAAACAACTACTTTGCAAAATTTAAATGATTTAAAAAAATTGAAGAGCACAAAAATAGGAATTTTATGAAAGGCTCTTTACTAAAGACGTGTACCTTAATTGACGCCGCATTTTTGGGACACCTCTTAAAAATACCCAGATATATAAGAACAAGAGGGCCATGATTTCTCATCTGATATTCATGCTAAAAAGGGTTAAACTAATAATAAAGTCGCATTGGGCTTGTCATTCATAAGTTTTAGTTTTAAAGTAATTGTAGATGCTCTACAAAATGCTTCATGACAAATATCTAAGCTTTTTGGCATTGCAATTTCACACAAGAAGACTTAATTAATTAGATGTTCTAGTTTGTAAGTCGTTATAAACTAAGTGTGCCCCAAGGTGGACCACTTTTGATCCAAGGGCATGATTTATTCAACTTTGTAGAGGATCACAAGGCGATGCTTCATTCTATATAGCTCTGGCCATTGAAATTTGAGAGGAAAAAATTTAAGACACTTTTTGTTAACAAGTCTATGAACTTAGTGACTTCTATAAAGGGCAGGGTCATTATTGACCCCAAGGACATGACTAATTAAAATATTACTTTTGTAGAAATCCATTTGGCAATGTAACATGCCGTATACCTGCAGTTTTGCAAAGAAGACTGAAATTTATTTTCCTTTTCAAGTCTATATAAACTGAGTGAACCCTAGGGAAGGATAAATTGTGTCGCCAGGGGCATGACTGATATTCCTTTAATATAAAACCACAAGATAATGTTATATGCAAAATACCTAAACTCTTTGCATTGTTATAAAAAGCAGATTTTTGAGACAGTTTACTATTATACAAGTCTACGTACAATAACTAACCTAAACGGCGAGGCTATTTTTGACTCCTGTGGTTTGAGTTATGCAACTTGTGTAGAGGTCTATTAAGCAAAGTCCAAATTAAATATCTAAGCTCTTGGCATAGCTTTTCACAAAAGAAGATATAAATACATATTCCTTTATTAAGTGACCCCCGGGTGGAGCTTTTTTGACCCCATGAAAATGATTGACATTTATTATGTAAAAAGTCATAAGATGAAGCTTCATGCCAAATATCTAAGCTCTAAGCATTGTAGCATCATAGTAGAATTATTTTTATTATTGTTTAATTTTTACGATACAATTCTAAATAAATTAAGTGATTCCCGGGTTGCATCCAATTTTGACCCCCACTGGCATGATTTATTAAACTTATATAGAGATCCAATTCCCAATACCACAAGCAAAATTTTTAAGTTCTTTGCATTGCAGTCTCATAAAAAAAGTTTTTGTTATAGTTTCCTGTAACTATTGTATTTTTATTATTTAACTCATGAGCGGAAGAAAAGCTATGACATCGTGGGGCAATGCCAATTTTGATCAAAGGCTATAATTTGAATAGTCTTTATAACAAGAGGGCCATGATGGCCCTGAAGTCGCTCACCTGTATATAGGCCCACAGAGCGAGGCCAGTTTAAACCCCAGGGCTTTTATTTGAACAAAATTGGTAGACACCCATTAGAAGATGTTTCATGCTAAACATCTAAGGTCTAGCTCGTTGAGTTTTTTAAAAAAAAGATTTTTTAAGTTTTTACTATACACATATAGTTAAAAGCAATGACGTCCCTAGGGCGGGCCAGTTTTGACCCCAGGGCTTTTATTTGAACAAACTTTGAAGACACTCACTAGAAGGTGTTTCATGCTTAATATCTAAACTCTAGCTATTTGTTTTTATTCAAAGAAGATTTTTAAGTTTTTGCTATACACATATAAGGAAAATTAATGTCCCCCGGGGCAGGGCCAATTTTGACCCTAGGGCTTTTATTTGAACAAACTTTGAAGACACTAACTGGAAGATGTTTAATGCTTAATATCTAAACTCTAGCCATTTGGGTTTTTTCAAAGAAGATTTTTTTAAAAAGCTTTTGCAATACACATATAAGGAAAATCAATGACCCCCGGGACAGGGCCAATTTTAACCCCAGGGCTCTTATTTGAACAAATTTGGTAGACACCCATTAGAACATCTTTCATGCTAAGTATCTTAGCTCTAGCTCTTTGGGTTCTCTAAAAGAAGTTTTTTTAAGTTTTTACTATATGCATATAGGGAAAATCAATGACCCCCTGGGGCGGGGCCAATTTTGACCCCAGGGCTTTTATTTGAACAAACTTGATAGACACTCACTAGAAGATGTTTCATGCCAAATATCTTAGCTCTACCTCTTTGGGTTTTTTAAAAGAAGATATTTTAATTTTTTTCTATCGGTTGCCATGGCAACCAGAGTTCTGCATGGAATTAAATTCTTTGAACAATTTTTAAAGGTGACCACCAAAGGAACATTCCTGTGAAGTTTGGATGAAATTGGCTCAGCGGTTTATGAGGAGATGTCATTTAAAGTAAAAGTTTACGGACGGACGGACGCCGGACGGACGACGGACGGACGCCGGACGAAAAGCGATCACAAAAGCTCACCCTGTCACTTTGTGACAGGTGAGCTAAAAATAAAAAAATATATGCTATGTGACATACAACAAGAGCCTACGCCGGGCGGGGGTAACGCTCGACTTTTTACTTTTTCTAAAAGCAAATAAAGAAATGTTTGAACAAATCTTAACGTTTCCTTTTTATAAATTTAATCGGTCTGTCTTGTCACATTAGTTTTGTCTATATATTTTGTATATATAAATATACACATTTATATATATCAATATAAATAGGCACACGCAATGCATTCTGTAAATAGAAACACGCAATGCATTCTATAAATAGAAACACGCAATGCATTCTATAAATAGAAACACGTAATGCATTCTATAAATAGAAACACGCAATGCATTCTATAAATAGATACACGCAATGCATTCTATAAATAGATACACGCAATGCATTCTATAAATAGATACACGGAATGCATTCTATAAATAGATTCACGCAATGCATTCTATAAATAGGTTGTTGTTGTTGTTGTTGCTGTTGTTGTTGATGATGATGATGATGATGATAATGATGATGATGATGATGATGATCATACATACACATCAATAAATATATATAGTCATTTTATGCACAAATCTGAGAAAATTCAGTAATTTAACCTTCAAGGTCAAGGTCATTAAAGAGCCCAAGTCAATTTGGGTTTGATACACAACAAGGTCTTGTCCTTAAGAATATTCTATTATAATATGAAGTTGATCCCTTCAATAATAGCAAAGTTACAGCCGGTTACAACCAAAACAATGAAAATTTCAATAATTTGACCTTCAAAGTCAAGGTCATTTATGAGTGAAGGTCAAGGTCTGTCTGGTTATTTTTTAGGGATATCCTTGAAGATTATTATGTTCCAGTTTGAAGACAATCCATTAAAACAAATTTACAGCAAGAACAAGCAAAATTTTGATTTTGACCTTAAAGGTCAAGGTCATTTATGGATGAAGGTAAAGGTTAGTGTGGTCTACTGAAAGGTCTTTTCCCAAGGATTGTTGTGGCCAAGTATGAAGACAATACACCAAGAAATAAAAAAGTTATGATCCAGATACAAGTTTGCGGGCGGGAACGGCAACGCCACCGCGACTATAACAATACCTCTACTTTTTTTTTTTCAAAAAAAAAAAAAAGTCGAGCTAAAAATACATTGTAGGTTTAAATGACAGAACAGAAAGCTACGCTTTTTTGCATGTAACCAAATTAAATGGACGTTTACTCAAAATGAAAGACTATTATGCAAGGTAGTTTCGACCTCGCTCTGGTGTCTCATGATTTCAAATATACCTAGTTCAAAGAATCTTCACAAGACCAAAGAGCCAAAAAGATCTTCACAAGACCAAAGAGAATATAGGATAACCTACTGAACTGTTTCCAAGATCATTTAAAGTATGACCCAATGGTATAATAAGATTTACTCTGTCATTGGAATATCTTACTATCAAGAATTTCATCGGACCAATATCTTGATATATCAAGTATGTATAGACCTTGAATAAACTTCTTCTCTTAATTGGAGTTAAAGCTGCCTGCGACCACTGAATGGATATAGATTATATGTCATCCAAACATGAGATGAAAACAGTTGCAAACAATACATCAGATAAACGATAAAAGGAAAATTGTTCTCTAATTAACATTATGCCGCATGTCAATCAAGCTTGCATAAGCCAATCAGCGATCGTTATCAGTTCCATGCTAAGGTGCCTGCGAAGTCCACCATTGTCCTTAGACAAGCTACTTGTTTAAGACAATGGTGCAGAAGTAATTTATATTGAAATTATTTTAATTTTCTGTCGATTTAAAGCTTTTTTATTTACATAATTATTAAGTTACCAAATATACTGACATATTGACAGATCGAGTAAGTAAGTTTATTATACAAAAAGTCAATTATTTTTTAAATATGGAAATAATAAGTACGAAAAAATTATCTTGGCTATAACACAATGCATTGAAAAAGGAAAAGGTTTTTTTATTTCCATTCTGCCTATTCATAATCACATTACATATTATAAGGTCCTAAAATATCCAGAAGATATGACATTTTTGGTTATAACGTATAACGTCAATAAAAACGCAGCCGTAAAAATGCAAATATTATGAGTAAATATAAAAAAATGTGTTTTGTAGTGAATCATATCAAACGTATATTTACAAAACATAATCATATATTATACAAATTTAGCAAGGGCATGCAATTTTCTGAATCAATTTTAACAATTCACGAACAAATTAATGTATTATCTAAACTGAATTTCACACCTAAAACCCGAAAAATGATTTTTGATTTTATTTACTTTTTTAAATTACCAAAATACATTGAATAATAAATCTTCTATTCAATAAAACCATTAATAGCATCAACATTTTATATATACAAAATTTATATAAGGTAAATTCATTGGTAACATTTGTGGCAGAACAGTTTTGCGAAAACACCGGTACTATATTTTGTATAAGGGTCTTACTGACCGGGTCACGTGAAAGTGGGCGGAGCGATCCTTTCTCTGGCGTAATGTCAATTACAGAAGTAATTGATTAACAATCATTTTATATGTAAACTAGAATTGTGCCCAAAGGACACGGGTGCCCCCAACGCGCCACTGTTCTGTCAATCTTATGACTCTAGGTCAAATATTTTTTGAAAACTAAAAAATCTTTTGCAAGAACTTTACAAATACTGAATAAATCCACAAGCAAATCCCCAAGGTGCATAAGTACACATGCTGACCAACATTCTTGTAAACTTTCAGGCCTACAAGTAAAATACTTTTTGGGCTATGCATGAACAAGTTGAAAATTGCAAATTTATTCTACTGTAAGTCAAGGGCAATAACTCTAACAAAACTGAAAAATACACATTCAAAGTCCAGCTGCATAGCTTCACAGTGATGTGAATCATTATTCCTGTAATTTAGTGATGTTGATCATTATTCCTGTAAAGTTGGTTGATTCTAACTCAAGCACTCAAGGAACAAATAACAACAAAATGAAACGGATTTTACTAAGTCAAGGGAAATAACTCTACAAATATTGGATAAATCCACAAGCGAAGCCCCAGGTGCAAAACTAAATATGCTGAGCAACCTTCCCGTAAGGTTTAATGACTCTATGTCAAATCCTTTTTGAGTTACATGCGACACAAGTTGAAAATTGCAAACATTTTCTAAGTGAAGGGCAATAACTCTAAAAATACTAAATAAATCCAGACGAAAATACCCAGGTGCACAACTACATATGCTGGTCAACATTCCTGTAAAGTTTCATGACAATAGGTCAAATACTTTTTGAGTTACATGCGACACAAGTTGAAAATTGCAAAATTTTACTAAGTCAAGGGCAATTACTCTAAAAATACTTAAAATATCCAGACGAAAATACCAGGTACACAACTACACATGCTGATCAACATTCCTGTAAAGTTTCATGACTCTACGTCAAATACGTTTGAGTTACATTCGACACAAGTTGAAAATTGCAAAATTTTACTAAGTCAAGGGCAATAACTCAAAAAAATGCTAAATATATTCAGACGAAAATACCCAGGTACACAACTACACATGCTGATCAACATTTCTGTAAAGTTTCATTACTCTAGGTCAAATACTTTTTGAGTTACCTGCGACACAAGTTGAAAATTGCAAAATTTAACTAAGTCAAGGGCCATAACTCTAAAAATACTAAATATATTCAGACGAAAATACCCAGGTGCACAACTACACATGCTGATTAACATTCCTGTAAAGTTTCATGACTCTAGGTCAAATACTTTTTGAGTTACGTGCGACACAAAAGAGAACGGACGGACGGAAGGACGGACGTTCCAACATTTTGGCTTTAGGGACTATTTACTTTGTTATTTTCTTTGTTTTCTTAAGAACTACTAGCCCCTAAACCCTTTGATCACGGAATGAACCTATTGTTCTCTTTTGTTCTCTTTACTGTTATATAGCCCCTAAACCCAAAATGTTTGCTCGGACGGACAGACGGACGGACGGAAGGACGGACGGACAAGGGTAAATCTAAATGCCCACCACTAAAGTGGGGGCACAAAAAAAGATATTGCAAAATACCTTTGGGCTTGCTCTGATTCCTGTGCTGAATCATCTGAAAACAAATGCACGAAATAAATTGTTTGACTGAAAATTTCACAAAGAACTTAATGTTAGAAAAAACATCGAAATTAATGACCAAATTATAATTACTTCTTTAGAAGACAACAAAAAAGCAAACAAAGACTCTTGTATGAAGTATTTATTAATTTGTTTTGATGTTAATTTTGGAGTAAAATTTGTTTATTAATTGTATTGCTAATGTTTAACGCAAAGATGAAAATAAAGTAACTAACGTGTTTGTATATGTTCCAGTTAAAAAATATCACCTAAGACTTAACATTAATCAAATTTCCTATTGTAAATAACACTATTTTTCGTTACCTTGATCTTTTTTCGTAACGATCGTTTCTTAAGATTTTGTTCAGTATAATTTTATCCCTGACATCAAGCGTCAGTAAAATAATTGTACATTGTATTGTGTGTCAGTTGGCTTTGATATTGTTAAACAAACTCAATCAGTGCGAGCGTATATGTGTGTGTTCATGTTTGTTTATACAAATGAACCTGTCGGTCATAACGCATGATTAATCAGAAATTTGTAATAAACAAACTTAATTGACCTTATAATTTCTATTTTTGAAAAGCTAAAAGCAGATTACATCATTATACGAGCAGGTCAAAGCCCTACACACCTGTATTTGAAGAGCTTGGGTCTCTCTGGGGAGTGGCTCTTCTTTCACAACAACATTGACAAAAGCTTTATCTGGTAGCCTTACTCTGTGATTCAGTAGAGCATGGCTGGAAATATTCTTTATAACCTTTTGGAAGAAACTTGATTCACAGGTAACTATCACATTCAGCAGTCCTTTGATTACAGCTGCATAGATTATATCAAACTTGTTGAGCCAAGCCTCGACAAAGGAAGTGTTATACTTGTATTTGCCCGCAAATTCGTCAATGACAATAACACTGACTTTCCCAAGTCTCACTTGTTTCCAGTCACTGGCCTCTGTAAGAATAACGCATTCATCTTTGCTGTAAAGTGATGAAACCAATTTCAATGCAAATCTTGTGGATGTACCACCCTTTAATCCTGTAATAACAATCGCTTTATGTTTCTTAAACTTTTGCCGCGCTTGTTCCATCAGCTCTTTATTGTCAGAAGCGTCTGTTTTGCAGTCTTGAATGAATACTTCCGATTGTGCTGAAGAATGAATATAAAATATATAAAGATTGAACAAATGAAAATAATATTTCAACTTTCTTCTTAGAACTGTTTTTCAATGAAACATTATTAAACAAGATAGGTTACTAATGTTATACATCAAAACATACCTATCATATTTCCAAAAACGCCACCAATATCATGTCTCTTATCTGTTATGTTTCCTGAAAAAGTACCAATTTGTTGAATGAAGTATTTCTTCGTTATTCAAATATTCCTTTTTTCTGGCTTTGTTATTAAATGAAAGCCATGCTCTTGTATACTGTGAAAATGTACAATTTTTGTGCTTTCTTAAAATTGCCCAAGAAAATATTAATAGTTAAACACATGTAAGATATATTATTGTTAAATTTCAGTAAATTATATGTGCTCATTAGTAACTATGACTCTCGCAGAGTAATACTACAACTATAAAATTAAAACAAGTTTCAAAAGCCTTATACAACCAACGACTTTCATTACATCCAAGATGCCATTCTTCTTTTCAAACTTAAAGAGCAAACGTCTGTCTTTTTACAAAACCAGGATATGATTTTTCTTTCAATTCTTGTAATACTTTCTTTCTAAAGTGTGAACCAATGCGTAATGTATGAGAAAAAATGTCAAATGCACTGAAAAGTTTTCACGGTCCGTAACTACTAGCTTTGTGATTACATGAGTAGGTCAATCATAATAAACATAACTATAGAAAAATTGTTACCAAGTTATAGTCAATTATAGCAAAAAATCAGCTTTAAGGTCAAGGTCATAAATGAGCCTAGGTCAATTTGAGTTTGATATACATGAAGGTTTTATATTAAACAATGTTGTGTCTTAATATGAAGTCAATCCATTCATTAGAAACAAAATTAAAGCCAGTTACAGCAAAAAAGAGAAAATTATAATAATTTGACCTTCAAGGTCAAGGTCATTTATGAGTAAAGGTCAAGGTATTCTAGTTAACTTAAAAGTCTATTCTAGAAGATTTTTGTGTTCAAGTTTGAAGACAATTTATTCAAAAATAACAAAGTTATAGTCACTAATAGCAAAACTCAGCGAAAATCAAAGCACAATTTTGACATTTGACCTAGAAGGTCAAGATCATTTATTAATCAAGTTCAGTCTGGTCTACTTGAATGTATTGCCCCAAGGGTTGTTGTGGCCAAGTATGAAGACATACACTAAGAACTTAAAAAGTTATGATCAAGATTAAAGTTTTCAGGGCGCCAACAGGAACGCCGACATAACTATAACAATACCTCATTTTTTCTTCAAAAAAACAAGTATAGCTAAAAAATTACGTTTTTCTAGATTCAGTGGGTTGTTTTCATCAGTTGGCATAAACAGCTCAATAACGTTTTTGAAGATCTCATTATCGTCATGATTCTCCTTCCATTGGTTGACCTTTAAGTTTTCGGAGACTATCACAATATCGATTCTAAATTCCTTGCTCGGCATCTTACAAGAATCTAGCATGCTTTGGAATATGCGATGTAAGCGGGACTCATTATGTTGCTCTGCGAAAGGTTCGGTGAATAAAACAAGATCTGTTTCGTTTGGATCGATACTATTCCAGTCATCAACTGTTTTCATTTCAAAGCATCTATCTAAAGGGTATTTCTCCGACATAATAATCGCCGATAAAACTGTTGCTAGGTAACTGGTGTTTTCGGAGCCAGTGACTACTATACAATGGTTTTCTTGAAGGATACGCAATATTTCACGTTCTTCCGGTTGACATTTAAAATCTTCAGGTAATTCCCTTTCTATAGTTTGTCTAAAATTATCTAAAATAAATAATGCAACGTATGCAAAGTCATCATTTCAAAAATAAATAATAAGATAAACAATAAACAATAAATAAATAAAAAAACAAGGATGCTACAGGGTTTAAAGCGCTCACCTGAATACATTTTGTTATTTGTGTAAGGGTAAATTTTAAAATAGGGGCAATCTTTGAACAACTATGGTAGAAGACCTATAGATGATATTATATACCAAAAACCTAAGCTTTTCAGATAAGATGTTTTTTTTAGCTTTTACTTCATACATATGAGGAAAACCTATGACAGCGAGGCGGGGCAAATTTTGACCCCAGGGCTATAATTGGAACAATATTGGTAGAGTTGTACTAAACAATTTTTCATGCCAAATATATAACCTCTAGCCTTCATCTATTAAAGAGAAGATTTTAAAAAGTTTTCACTATATATACATACAAGGGAAACCTATGACTCCCGGGGCGAGGCCAATTTTGACTTCAGGGATATAATTTGAACATTTTTGGTTGAGTTACAAAAGACAATGATTCATGCAAAATATCAAACCTCTAGCTTATTAATTCAGAGGAGAAGATTTTTAAGTTTTTACTTTACACATATAAGGAAACCTATGCACCCCGGGGCGAGGCCAATTTTAATCCCAGGGCAATTTGAACAATTTTGGCAGAGGTTCACTTCATAATGCTATATGCCAAATATCTAACCTCTAGCATCTGTTAATTCAGAGGAGATGATTTTTTAAAGTTTTTATTATATAAATAAAAGGAATATCTATGACCCCCGGGGCAGGACCAATTTTGACACTAGGGGTATTTGAAAAACTTTGCTTGAAGCCCAAAAGATGATATCATATACCAAATATCACATTTCTGGGCCTTGTACTTTCAGACAAGAATTTTTTTTAAGTTTGCATTTTTGTTACTCCTTTTCTGGCCCCGTGACCTATTTATGCAACATACCGCAAACCACTTGAACCATTTTAGCAGCAGACAACCCAAGGATTATTCTTGTGAGGTTTGGTTACTGTGCAGTCATTGATTTCAGAGGAGATGTTGTTTAAAGAAATTATTTACGACACACGACGACGTACTGTTGGGATTCACATTAGCTCACCATGAGCACGTTGTGCTCATGTGAGCTTGTAAAGAATATTTTTCATCTTTCATTTTTTTTAAGTCATAATAATGAAATATGTTCTGTTTAGTCTTAAAACGATAACAAACAAGTACTTAAATGAGAGATAAGAAAAAGATCTTAAAGCTGCATGCCTTCAGGTGTGGCAAATATTTTAAGTAAATCAAACAAAAGAAAACTATTCTTTGATTAAAAGAAATGTTTAAAAGAGTTAAGATTCAAGTACATTGTAAACATATTCATGTTTTGTGCAATTAATGATTTATTTTGCAGCATTTTTACTTACGCAGAATTTAAAGGCCATTTTTGACCTATTTTTAGTAATTTACAAACATGCATGTGGAGTGAAAGTGCCGTTTGCATTGTGTAATTACTAATTTGGTTCACTTCACAAAATTTTACTTTTTCGATAAAATGTTCATGAAAATTAGTATGAATCGGCAGTTATGCTGCTTTAACGCAAACAAATTAAGTTCTCTGTCTGTCAAGATATTAAAAGTTTTTGAATGTTCTTAGAATACTTCGTTTTAATTACATTAATAAGTTTGTAAAAAAAATTGGTGAAATTCATATCTTAGAAATCAACAAATAGGACAACAATGTTCATGTTGCAGGTCATTATTCATTCTACTGTTATTTTACATGTTATCGACAACACATTAATTTCTTCGTGACAACTGACCTCAAAGATACTGGTAACTAAAATCCACAAACAAACAAATATGATTTCATCCAAACTGCCTTTCCCTAGATAAATGTTTGTTTTTCACGTAAAGGTTAGTTTAATTTAAGTTACCAGAGGTCATTAACTATAAAACATGGACAGAACTAAATAAAAATACATTTTGAGTGTCGAATAACTACGATTATCCTACAGTTTCGGAGACAATGTTTAAAAAACAACAACAAAAAAAACAACAACAAACAAGAACC